AGCGAGGATGACGAGATTTCGTCTCATGTACTTTGGATGTGTTATCAGGAGAAGGACATCATGCTTGGTTAGGTAGAGGGTCAGCGAAAAAGAGGAAGACCCTGGATGAGACGGATTGACACAGTGGCTGCAACAATGGGCTCGGACAGAACGATTATGAGGATGGCGCAGGACCGGCAGCGTTGTGCATAGGGTCGCTATGAGTCGGAATCGACCCTACGGCACCTAATAACAACACAGCTTTTAAGGAGCCCAAAAGCCGCCATCTGCTCTGTGTCTCGGTCTTCCCACTCCGCGCCACCACGGAGGGGACAAGGTGACAGTCACGCGCCCCCCTCCGTCCGGGCGGTGAGGAGGCCTTAAAGATTGGAAGGCGACCCTGAGCCAGGGCTCGAATGGAGATGCTGAGAGGGGTCCTGGTAGCCGTGACCGCCTGGTTGGCAATTAGAGCAGCCAGCACTTATTGAGCTCCTGCTGTATGCCAGTCCCCCTGGCGAGACAGTACCTGTTTTCACGACAGCCAGGTGGGCTGGGTGCCGTGTCCCACCCCTCCACTCCTACTCCCCCCACCCCCGGTTTGCAGAACACCGAGCCTCGGAAACGTGGTTACCCAGCTGAGGGAGGGGCGACTGGAACTCACGCTCACCCCTTGCGCTTCCCAGCCCGGCTCTCCGCAGAGGCTGAGCTGGGCAGCAGGAGGCTCGAGTCGCTTCCTGGCGCGAGCGGACTCTTTAAAAGGGGGCGGAGCCTATCGGTGGGGGGCGGGCGAAAGAAGGCCGGAAGCGCGTTCTCGAGCCTCGAGGGGCGGGACGACGCCGACCGGAAGCGGAAGTGACTCTTAGGGGGCGCTGGCGCCGCTTGTCCTGCCCCCGGGTGAGGTGAGGGTGTCGTTTCGGCGGGGAAACTGAGGCTGAAGTCCAGCCGGAGCCTGAAGCCGCCGGCCACGTGTGGTCTCGCAGACGGAAGGTCGGGACGGGGCGAATCCGGGGGGCAGGAGAGCTGTCCACGTGGCAGGGCTCTGACAGGTGCGTACGAGTTCGCTGGGCGGGAGGCACGGCCGGGGCAAAGGCCAGGAGCTGGCCGCGGCGGTCAGCGCTCCCTTCCCCCTCGCAGGGATGAGCTCCAAGGCCAAGAAGCGCGTGGTGCTGCCCACCCGCCCGGCGCCCCCCACGGTGGAGCAGATCCTGGAGGACGTGCGGGGGGCGCCGGCCGCGGACCCCGTCTTCACCGCCTTGGCCCCGGAAGGTAAGGGCAGCCCAGGCCCGAGCGGGGGAGGGTGGCCCCGAGACCCAGCAGCAAGGGGGAGCAGGCACACGCCTTGGGACCCCAGCCCTGAGTGGCAGGTCCTGTGAAACTGGAATGCGCCTCCCCACCCCGTCTCACTTCCTTTCTTCCAAAGCACCCCCAATAAATCCTGTCATCCGAATCCCCGTCTCGGGCTCTGCTTCTAGGGACCGCCAGCTCAGTCACTACCTGGGCATGCTCCTTCTGCCCCAGCCTCCCTCTCCTCGTTCGTCTTCAGAGGGTGATCTAGAATGGGTCGCCGGCAAACTAGATTCCCCAGGAAGCTGCCCGTTTTTGTGGAGTCCCTGGGTGGTGAAAAGGTTAATGCGCTCAGCTGCTAAGTGACACTTTGGAGGTTCTAGTCCACCCAGAGACACTTTAGAAGAAAGGCCTGGCCATCTACTTACAAAAAATCAGCCATTGAAAACCCTATGAAAAATAAATTTAAAAAAAATCAAAACTGTCAGGGGACATATACCAACACTGTAAAAAAAATGAAAAAAATAAAACCGTAGGGAACACAGTTCTACTCTGACACACGGAGTCCG